CTGGACCTTATTCAAACTTCTCCCCATCAGGACAACGCATGGTGTAAAGCTGGGATGAAGTGGCACGGAATGGCCCTTTTTGTTTTCAACAGCACCCGGCCATCCACGTTTTGTTTTAAAAGCTTTCGCAAGCCACCGGGGTGCCAGCATGGCTGGCTGGGGAATTCTGGGAGTTGAAGTCCACACATCTTCAAGTTGCCAAGGCTGAGAAACACTGCTTACAGAGTGCCAAAGTAGAGATTGCTCCAGGGAGGTCATTACCAGTTGGGTTCTAGAAAAAGGTACTAGTTGGAGGACTTGTCACCTGACCCAGAAGCCTTGTCCTGGGTATAGCAGACCAGTGAGAGAAGACTGTCCATTCTGGCTGCACTCAGAGGTGTCTTCATCTTTACCTGCTCAGCACTAGCCTTCTGGGACTCTGCTCTTCTGACCAAGAAGTCCCACGAGATGTTTGCTCTCTGGGGCAGCTGCTATTGTTGTGTTCGTACCAGAACGTGGGAGGGAGAACACCAACAAAGACTGCATGCCTGAAGAAGAGCTCTGCAAGGTTCAAAACCTTGCTAGTTAACTGATGAAGGAAAGCTGCTTCAGCTGAAGGACCTCATGGTGGCTACTCCCTTCTGGCTCTCAAGGCCATCTGTGCTGCTGCCACCCATTTTTGCTGTGCCCTGGGTGGGCGTGCTCTGTTCCACCCAAAGGGGAGTCCCATCTGCCGAGTCTCTGGAAAAGTTAGGAGAGACACTGCTGCTTTGGGTAACAGGCTAAGATCAAGAAGGGGAGAATTCAGAAGACCTAGAACTTCAAAGCTCTCTGAAGAGAGAGGTTTTGGAGAAGGCACGAGCTACTTGGTGCTACTTCGATATCCTGTGGAGTTGACGGCAGTTCTGTTTGTCAGTCCCTTTCTAGAAGTTTTCTAGGTTTCTCTGCTTCAAGTGATTTAACCGGCAGAAACTGGGAATTGCTTTGACTCTGACAGATGTGTGATGCACTTGTGACTATTGCAACTAAAACTGAAGGAAACCATTCCCCAATCAAAAGAATTGGCCCTTCTGATCCCTGCCTTATTTTTTTTCCTAAATTAAAATCCTCATATATACATATACATATATGTGTGTGTGTGTGTGTGTGTGTATACACACACATACAGATATATACATACACACACAAAACTTCTAATATCTCTTCTTAAAGCAATAAAGTAAAATATTAACTTTCCAAGTTCAATAATAACTTTCTGCATTTATTTTAAGTACCACTTAGTTCAAAAGCTTCCATAAATGGGAATAACGGGGTTGGTGGGGGATGGACAAATATATTCTCTCTCTCTCTCTCTCTCTCTCTCCCCCTCCCCTCCCCTCCCCTCCCTCTTTGCAGCTGCTCAGGGAATTTCTTGATTTTCTCTTCAACCTTGGTTCAAGCTCTGCTTTCTGTGCTAATTGCATCAAAGAAATGTGGGCTGGGGTGGGGGACACACTTGCTAATTCCTAGGTGGATAAACAAGGTTCTGGATCTGTGCCCTGACCCCAAGAATTGGAAGACTGCCTTGGTCTTCTGGTGCATATTAATTAATGGCTATTAAATTAGTGCAGTCTAAGCCCAACTAAAATACTAGTGGAATGATCAAAGGAAGGCACATAAAGATTCCTTTGCTGGCAGACCCAGAGGTTCTTCAGCTATAAGACCTTCAA